AACTAATGATATTTAATTAATTAAAATTCTTCTCACATTAGATCACTTTTAATAATTATCGTTAAATAAATATAAAATAATATTAAAATAACTAAAAATTATCTAACAAAATAACTTTAAAATTACATTGAATTAATTCAATTACAAATATTAATTATATTTAATTAATTAAAATTCTTCTCACATTAGATCACTTTTAATAATTATGGTTCACATACAATCGTTATCGTTTAGTTTAACATAGAAAGTCAATTAGGAGATACATATTGTAAGACAGTTAGTTTGTTGGGCAAAGTACCTAAGGATTTTTTTTCTCGAAAATTCGAAACACGAGAACGTAAGTATTCCATGCAGTAGACACTCGAGAATTAATTAATGCTAGTCGTTACATCCATCCATTCATCAATCCGTCCGTCCGTTTGTCCGTCCGTCCGTCCGTCCATCCATCGTCGCACGGGGATGATACAAGCTCGAGGTAATTAAATCGCGGATTTGTATTCGTTAAATGCGTTAAAGAAAAGAAGGAAAGGAACCTGTTTACTTATCTCTACCTATATATACACACTGTTTATTTATCTCTCCCCTTTATATTTTTTCCTTCATAAATTTGGAAATGAAAAATGATGAATAATACTCTTTTTATATTCTTAACTCTTGTTAGAAAAAAATGAAATAAAATATATGGAAGATTGGTTTTTGAACCAAAAAAAAAAATTACGATTAACTTAACTATGTTTTTTAATTTCACGATTTGGATAAGTATACTTTGTTCAAGTTCTGATGATTCTCGTTTGTGGTAAATTTTTCTAATCACGAGTCTCACACGTGACGTTTTGGCCAATTCTTTTTGTCACGAGACCCTCACACGATGTTTTAGGGCCTAGAAATTAAATTGTTAATACTTTTTGATAATAAAGTTTCAGAAAAGAAGTAGAACTTAATTTAATTAAGTTGGACGTTTCGTCCCTTTATTGGGACTTCTTCAGCAACTTAATCATTAAAGCTCAGCGTCTTTTT